GTAATGATAACCAATCGGCAGTCAGTAGCAATAATGCTAACAAATCGGCACTTAGTATCAGTAATGTTGACCAATCAGCACTCAGTAGCAGTAATGTTGACCAATCAGCACTCAGTAGCAGTAATGTTGACCAATCAGCACTCAGCAGCCGTACTGCTAACCAATCAGCAAATAGTGCTGCACCCCACAGTACAGGTGTGATTCTGATTAACTGCTGCTCATTTAAATTGATTAAAAATTATTCTTGAAAGAATGAAGTTTAGCGTTTTTAGGACTGTTAATTTTACCTAAGCCAGCAGTTGATGCTAGTAGACCGAATGTGCCACACAGCATAGGCTCGGTTCCAGCTAACCGAATCTAAAATGACCCGTTTAGAGGATATCTGAGAGTGCAGAGTGACTGGTGTCGGCATGAAAGCTGAGCATGTTCTGTGGTGAGTGGAGCTCTTATTTGTAGCTGAGCTGCTATCATGCTCTTTCAGAGGTTTCACCTATCTCTGATTTTTCCCCTCTTTCTGTAGCACCACCTATCAGTGAGCCCCCACACCACCAATCAGTGATCCCCCCTAAAAAATTGGTGTAATGGGTTTATTTGGCTGTTCAGACGTGGAATAGATATCGGATGCTTTTGAAATACTGTCATTATTTTTAAATAGCAACATTTTATTTCAGTAACACTGCAGTACCTTAGGGCTGTTATACTGCCCAAACATAGTCTGGACAAACACCATAATCACTGACAGATAAACACCACCATTAAAGCCATGGCAAAGGTTTCCTAAACTGGTATTTCTCACTGTAAATACACTGTAAAAATACTGACTTCGCTAATAAATGCCTTTGGCGCAGACCCATCAGCTTAACACACTGACACAAGGCCTGGCCATATAACGAATAATAATACAATATTCTGCTCTATTTGTCACAAAATATTTCAAAATTACAACTACATGAATTTATACCAATAATATAGCAAATAAATAAAAATAAACTTGCAATTTTCAATTCAAATAAACATTGTAAATTCCTGATAATAATTGCTAGTGGCAGTTTAGCTAGCAGGCTATAGCTCAGAACAAGCTGAGACAGTTTCAGTAACTGATGCTCAAGACAGCGGGAACTGAACCTGTCCCACGGTGTGTTGAGCTGTTAGCCTGTTAGCTTCAAGTTTTGAGCTGTTTTAAGACTAATAGTGTAATAGTTTTGATTTTGCTCTGATACACCTCATCAGCTAATGTACAAACTGCTCATACAAGCTTTTCGGCCACCATCAGAGATGCTTTTCCGCTTAGTGCTCTGGTTGTGAAAATAAAGGTGCAAGGAATGACAACTTTGGAAACATAAAAACAAAGTAGTTGTGTGAAACCCTCATCCCTTTTGGTAATATCATACATGGAGGTAAAATCTGTTAGACAGCATGAAAAAACAGACACTTTTCAACTCTACTGCTTAAGCTGCACAATTTACATTAGATACATACCCTGAACGGTCACTGTGTAGATATGAATGGCCTCCTTATTAATGTCCATTATAATATAATTGCCCCTGTCAGATGGAGTCATTTTTCTCAGTTCAAGGGCAGATGTTATTAGTGACACTCTGTGTGTGTATTCAGGTTTACACTGTAGTGAGTTTCCATTCACTGTACAGATCTGATCGCTGGATGGTCCAGCTGGATCTGTGCTGTTATAAATCACCTCCACTGGATCTGATACGTCCAACTTCATCACCAGAGATTCACCAGGCTTTATCTGAACTGAAGTTTTCAAGGCTGAGGAGAAAAATGTAATCACCTGCAAATCTGATACAAAGCATTATACTTGAATCACTGCGGTATAGTCAGCAATATTCAGTCAAGAAAGTAGTTCAAAACTACGCTCAACCTGAAGATCCCAGTGATATATCTCTCTACCATCACACTGACACGTGTACCAGCCTCTCTTAGTGAAATCAGCGTCAGTGATGGTGAGAGAGAGATTCCCCTTCAGGTACTGATCATGGATCATCTGATATCCCTCCTTCACTGATCTACATGAAGTCTGATCACACTCAGCCAGAACATCAGTGGGTTTAGTGAACACAGTCCATCTGACCAAACCAGAGCATCTCTCAGAGCAGGGCAGAGTAGCAGAACCAAGAAACCCCACCTTTACCAGAGGAAAAGCTGATTCAGACACTGAAAGCAAAAAATAAATAAATAAACAAAAAAAACAGTGTGTTAAGAGGAGTTATCATGCCTTAATTAATTCTTCTAAAGCATTAAATCATTCAGAGTGAAATATTTGTACTAATTAAACTAAGAGTTTAATTACAATATGCAGCCTGTTTCAATGCCTATTTTAAATTATAAACATGTCATTGCTAAGAAATGCCCACAAAGTACTGTAGTACAGTACTGACCAGGAGAGGAGAGAGAGAGAAAGAGAGAACAGAACTGACCTACACACACACACCATCAGTACTGACCAGGAGAGGTGAGAGAGAAGAGAGAAAAGAACTGACCTACAGACACACACACACCATCAGTACTGACCAGCAGAGGAGAGAGAGACGAGAGAAAGAGAGAACAGAACTGACCTACACACACACACCATCAGTACTGACCAGGAGAGGAGAGAGAGAAGAGAGAAAGAAAGAACAGAACTGACCTACAGACACACACACACACACCATCAATACTGACCAGGAGAGGAGAGAGAGAAGAGAGAAAGAGAGAACAGAACTGACCTACACACACACACCATCAGTACTGACCAGGAGAGGAGAGAGAAAAGAGAAAGAGAGAACAGAACTGACCTACACACACACACCATCAGTACTGACCAGGAGAGGAGAGAGAAAAGAGAAAGAGAGAATAGAACTGACCTACAGACACACACACACCATCAGTACTGACCAGGAGAGGAGAGAGAAAAGAGAAAGAGAGAACAGAACTGACCTACAGACACACACACACCATCAGTACTGACCAGCAGAGGAGAGAGAGACGACGAGAGAGAAGAGAGAGAACAGAACTGACCTACACACACACACCATCAGTACTGACCAGGAGAGGAGAGAGAGAAGAGAGAAAGAGAGAACAGAACTGACCTACAGACACACACACCATCAGTACTGACCAGGAGAGGAGAGAGAGAAGAGAGGACACCTGCATCCAGTGCCTTAAACTTGTAAAAGTGTTTATGTGATCTAAGCTTTGTCTGTATTGTACTATTCATCACCATGAACAAAAACTCTGAACTTAAACAATCACAGAAACCATGTAAACACACTGGCACCACTGATTTAGCAGCTATAATTCCAACTTTAGACCAAAAATTACATTCGTAGTTTTCTCAATAATATAAAATGATGAAATGCTGATGTAGCACATCATAACTTTCAAACACTGCAGTAACACAGTAAAAAGTAATTTTGGTTACTTTTTTCTTTTTACTTCTGCCATGGTGATCAGGCGGAGCCTGTGAAAACTCAGCCCACACCATTACACTGGTAATGGATTTGCACAAATTGTTCCCTCTGGAGAACTATTTCAGCCTGTGAAAGAGCCAGTTATACAGATTAGCAACTTCATTAACAAATTAAGTTGTTTCAGTCATGTGACCTCTTTTTTGGTTTCCTACACTTGACTACCATTATAAATCTATATACAGTAGTTATCAATGTCCATTAACATAATTGTAATGTAATCCATTTTGGGCACAGTTCAAACACTGCCTTGGTAAGAGTGAATGACCATCTTGTGTCAGTAAATTCCAACTTCCTCATTCTTTTAAACCTGAGCGCTTCATTTGATACACTCTGTCAGACTGATCAGAAGAATGTCTGTTTATATCTAATACTGTATTCACCTTGTTTTAATTTTACTTTGTTACTGTGTCCCACAAGGATCAATCCTTGGGCCACTATCATTTAATATTTAGGTGTTATATCTGGGATATAGTATCTTTAGGAAATATGGCTTTGGCTCTCAAATTTACATCAGCACTAAGAATAACAAGGAGAGGCATTCATGTCAAATTGAAATGCTGTTGCTACAGTGACAAAATGACATTACTATAATGTGACATTATTATTATTATTATTTTATTATTGTTGTTGTTATTATTGTTATTAATGATGTGCATAATGCATGCCAAAATGAAAAGCAAAACCTCTTTTTAATTGTTTCCATGTCGCTTGACTTCACTGAAAAACAATGCATGAGGATTCACATTAAAAAAACAAAATGCTTAATTTATGTGAGCATTGAATACAATCCAGTTTGATATGTAATGAATGCACGGCTTTAATGCTGTGTCAACGTAAAGTCAATGTAATGTTTTTTTACTTTTCATTTTGGCACATTTCCTGCACAGCACTGTAATCTTGTGGGTATTACACTGTTTTCACTTTTAAGACTACATTTCAATGAAGCAGATACATTTGGAGCACTACACAGTGAAATCAATATAAGTGTCCATTGTTTACATTTGAACATGGATTGCATTCAATGCAAATTAAAAGGATGATTTTTCTTCTCATTTTGGCAGGTATTCTGCAGGTCACTATGGAAAAGTAATGGCATTTGTGCATTGCACTTCACTTTTAAGGAACACATGCAGCCAGTTTGCTTTACTTCTCGTTTCACATTCACTGCTGAACAGGACCACCTGTTTCCTGTAGAACACCTTTAGATCCCGTTATAAAACCATCTGATTCATTTAGAATCAGCCACTGGTCACCTGTTAGACCATTAGGATTAGGAATGAGTTTAAATGATATCAACCCATTAAAAAAGCCAAGACACATTACAAAACCATCAGGAACCAACAGACACACTTAATGGTTTCTATGGGTTTTTTCAGCAGGGAGCATTTTGGAGAGGAATGTGGAGAGGGCTGTTACATGGATTTAAGGATTAGAAGTGCATGAACAGGGTGTGTTTTAAGCACAAAAGCACAGCGTAGTCTGTTACATTAAATAAACACAATAAATCAATAAATGCAGAATGTAACTCACTGTACTGCTGCGCTTGATCTCCTGAGGGGGAAAACACGACGGTGGAAATACTGGTCCTCTCAAAGCTGCACTGTTACCTTAAAAGAAACGAGAGTTAGCAGAAAGCAGTAATTCCTACAGAAAAGGTGGTGTTGCAAAGAAGGTGGAGTCTATGCTGAAGGAAGTCTGTTCACTTCCTATTTCTGCTGTTATATGAAAAACCATAGTTTCTAATGCCAGAGGGTGCGGCCCTCTGACTTTTAAATTATTATTTTAGTCTTAACACACACCAGATTTGATCATTTTCCTCTCCTGAGTAGTGTTGCTGCTTTCAATATTAACAAAATAATGATTTTAATTCATACAAAATTCCATTATATAAACCCAAGTCCAAAAACATTGGGACAGTATGTGAAATGCTAATGTGGAATGTTGGAATGTTGATGATGGAAAATAGTGGAAAATCTGAAATAATACGTTTTCTTTGGGGACTATTTTGCCTCACAGCGCCCTGCATGTATCCCTCCACCATTTCATGTAATAACTTTCTGTGAGCTGGACGTCTGGTTCCTATCACCACCACTGTGAACAGTCTGTAAGTTTCTCACCAAAAAAAGTGAACGAAAATTTCTTTTTTGTGTGTAAAGAACCTTTTTAAAATTGAAAGAATCTACACATAATGAATAAAGAACCTTTTTATTTTTAAGATCATATATTATAAGATTTTATAACCTGTAAATTTAGGCTGAATTATTTCTAATTTAGATATTGAATCAAGACTGTCCTTTATGAATGGATGTTTTAAATGCGTGTAATGTAAGATTTCCTCAGTTTGACTCTAATCAAAGGAATAACGAGCCGTGAAGAGCTACAGTCAGATCGATTTTAGAGCTTCAGCATAAAGAAACCAGTTGTTCATGTTTTTTTTGAGAAGTGGAGATTGTATTCAGGTATCTGACTCTTCTCTGTTCCTAAAATTAAGTGGAAGTCAGGTGTGTCAGTTTAACACACAAAGAGAGAAGAGCAGAGTTCTGTACTCCACAAGGTCAGTCTATTTTACAATTATATAGAATACATACATATACATACATCTTCTAAACCGCTTATCCTTCTGGGACGCGGTGGGGTGCTGGAGCCTATCCCAGCTGTCATTGGGCGGAAGGCAGGATACACCCTGGACAGGTCGCCAATCCATCGCAGGGCAGACAGACAGACATACACATTCACACCTAGGGGCAATTTTAGCATGTCCAATCGGCCTGACTGCATGTTTTTGGACTGTGGGAGGAAACCGGAGTACCCGGAGTAGAAACAGAATAATGACACTGGTGTTCAGATGAAAGCAAAACACGTATGTTCATATTCTGATAGACAGTGCTTTTCTCTTCAGCTTCTTAGAAAACAAAATATAAACCAAAACTAGCGTAGATAATATAAACTGTATGATCTGTGTTTGAGACTCAGACGGACTCGTTTCCTTCCTCTATAACTTTGTGCTGCTTTTGTAGCTGCCTGTGTTGTCAGGTTTCTGGTGAAATAGAGTCGAATCTGTCACTATTGATTAACATTAAGAGTTCCAGACTGTAGGATTGGATGGAAAACATGAATCAGCACCCTGGACTCTTCACTGTATTAATACTGTTTCACTTTTTTCTACTTATTACTGCTGAGGTTTAAAAATGTCTGCCAGTCTATTTGTTTGTTTGTTTTTGTGTTTGTTTGTTTAGACAGCTGTTGGAGCTGACTGAGCAAATAAACCTGCTGCAATTTTTACAGCTACACTTTAGAAGTTTCACGATGTGTCAAATGTTGCACTGCATTCAGCAGAACTCTCTAATCCTTTTCTACACTGTTTAGGTGACCAGTTCTGCCTGACATCCACTCTTTAAAAGTTAGTGTGTGAAATCAGTGTTTAATGTGAGGTGGCTGTATTGGTCAGTCACTGTCACTGGACAGTGTAATCCAAGTACACAGACACGTCCTGTTTAGGCTGTAACTGTTACGACGCTGCATACACAGCAAAGACAGATAAAAAGGAATCTCAGTTTTACTTGACTGCTTAAACATAGTTAGTGAGTTCCATTCTGAAGGCAGCTGCCTAACACTGCCTTCAGAGGCGGCTCTCTTGTTGGACAGCATTTTAACTGAAATGGAACCTTAGTAGGCATCGCATTCAGGACAGAGCTTCAGAGCCATCACACGTCACAAGTTTCGCTGCACTGTACACGCTTTATCTGTTTATTGGCAGTCACTCGTTAGTTTACACGCACCTCCGACTAAAGGGGGATCATCTCAGTGAATAAGGTCTGAGTCTGTAGCAGCTGTTTTCCTGCATTGACACTGTGGTGGAAGTTTGTGTATGAAGAAGAGGCTGCTGTACGGAGTCGTTATATGCAAAAAAATGCTGCCTATTTAGACAGCTGCCTCACGATTGGAACGCAGCAAGTGTCTCTGCTCTCTAAATCACATGTCCATGCTCAAAACACTAGAGCATTTAGCAAATTGTCCCACACTGAGAGTTAAATTAACCATGAAAACCCTAAAAATTAAATATTCACATCCAAATACCAAACTGTATTTAAATATAATTACTGCATTACACACTGAAATACTTCAGCAGTACCAGTAACCAGTTTGTATTTTACAGCACTCATTCATGCAGGGAAGTTACACTGTACGTTACACTGTAAAACAAGGGCTGTATTATAAAGTGTTACCGAGGTTTGCTACACTGACACAAGTTCAAAACATCTGATCTGAAATGCAATAAAGTAGACCAAGTTTCATTTTCTCCATCAGAGTAAACGTGTAGACATAGCATCACAGACTGTGAAACTGACGCCAGCATCAGTGCTTTTATGGTTTAACAGAATCAGACAGGGTAAGCCAAACCCCACCATCTACCAGTTCATATAAACTACCACACTACCATACACTTCTCATAACTTTAATAACCTTTTCACTTTATAAATAATATGTAAAATTAGTTTTTAAACACCTTCATTAACTATTAAGGAGTCTCTCTTTCATAATAAATAATACACAAATCAACAAGTGTGTCTTTAACATGTCTTTAAATGAGGAAAGATAGGAGGCATCCCGAATAGACTTTGGGACAGCATTCCATCATTTGGGAACAGTAAATGATGGACCATCCATAGATGTCAATTTAAACCTTGGAACATGAAGAAGGGCTCAGTTATTTGCAGAAATCCTCAAATCCTAAGGTACAGGATGGGACATATAAATGAAGACGCTCACCCATGAAGAGCTAAGCCATGCAGAGCTTTATATGTAATGAGAAGAAACTTGTACTTAACATGGAATGTAACAGGTGATCAGTGAAGACTCTGAAGGACAGGGTGACCTGGTCAGTCTTCAGAGAATAGGTGAAGATCAGTGGCACACTGTAACCTACTGGAACTTTAGCAGGGAGGATAGATGGGAGAACATTACAGTAGTTTTAACAGATTTCACTAATTCATGCTCACATGTTTCAACATATGTAAGGCTGAGGATGGTGACAAGCAATAATATGAAGATGAAAAAACATTGTCTTAACTTTAGAATTGATATGTCAAAGGAACGTTTGGGGTCAAAGATAACTTGACTGTGTATGCAGGCAGAAAGTATCACCAACATCCCCTCAATATTGATGCCAAGGCCAGGTAAACTAGATAGGAGGGAAACATGAGAGTGGCTGGGTGATATTAGGGGAAAAGAAATCAGGGAGGGAATGATGGAAAGAAGTGAGGGGAAAGCAGATCGGGTCAATTTTATGCTAAAAAGTAAGCAAAGTCACCGTATAATTTATCTTGACCAGAATAAGCTACAGCAGGTGGCTGCAGGAGTTTGTTAATAGTGTTGAAAAAGGTCCTGGACCAGCATGAGCTACAGCAGATGAACAGGGATAGGAACACAGAACAAGCCCTACTTAAAGCAGACATTATCTATAGATATAGACATTTGATCTGCGTAGGCCAGAGAGTTTTTCTATAAAGTCGTTCAACACATCTGCCAGTGGCTCTCACATCATGGAGCTCAATGGTAAATGACAGTAAGGAGTGGGAGGACAGCACTAGCCTAGTGAAAGTATAATATACAGTATCTCACAAAACTGAGCACACCCCTCACATTTCTGCAAATATTTTATTATGTCTTTTCATGGGAAACACTATAGAAATTAAATGGATATAACTTAAAGTAGTCAGTGTACAGCTTGTGTAGCAGTATAGATTTACTGTCCTCTGAAAATAACGCAACACTCAGCCATTAATGTCTACATAGCTGGCAACACAAGTGAGTACACCAGGTGTGAATGGGGAGCAGGGCTGTTAAATTTGTTTTGGGTACAATTCGCTCATACTGGCCACTGGATAGTCAACATGGCACCTCATGGCAAAGGACTCTCTGAGGATGTGAGAAATAGAACTGTTGCTCTCCACAAAGATGGCCTGGGCTATAAGAAGACCTAACACCCTGAAACTGAGCTATAGCACGGTGGCCAAGGTCATACAGCGGTTTTCCAGGACAGGTTCCACTCTGAACAGGCCTCGCCAGGGTCGACCAGAGAAGTTGAGTCCACGTGTTCAGCGTCAAATCCAGAGGTTGGCTTCAAAAAACAGACACATGAGTGCTGCCAGCATTGCTGCAGAGGTTGAAGAAGTGGGAGGTCAGCCTGTCAGGGCTCAGACCATACGCCGCACAATGCATCAACTCGGTCTGCATGGCCGTCGTCCCAGAAGGAAGTCTCTTCTGAAGCTGATGCACAAGAAAGTCCGCAAACAGTTTGCTGAAGACAAGCAGTCCAAGAACATGGATTACTGGAACCATGTCCTGTGGTCTGACGAGACCCAGATAAACTCGTTTGGCTCAGATGGTGTCCAGCATGTGTGGTGGTGCCCTGGTGATGAGTACCAAGACAACTGTCTCTTGCCTACAGTCAAGTATGGTGGTGGTAGCATCATGTTATGGAGCTGCATGAGTGCTGCCGGCACTGGGGAGCTGCAGTTCATTGAGGGAAACATGAATTCCACCATGTACTGTGACATTCAGAAGCAGAGCGTGATCCCCTCCCTTCGGAAACTGCGTCGCATGGCAGTTTTCCAACATGATAACGACCCCAAATACACCTCCAAGATGACAACTGCCTTGCTGAAGGTAAAGGTGATGGACTGGCCGAGTATGCCTCCAGACTTAAACCCAATTGAGCACCTGTGGGGCCTCCTCAAGCGATAGAAAGAGGAGGAGCACAAGGTGTCTAACATCCACCAGCTCCGTGACGTCATCATGGAGGAGTGGAAGAGGATTCCAGTAGCAGCCTGTGCAGCTCTGGTGAATTCCATGCCCAAGAGGGTTGAGGCAGTGCTAGATAATAATGGTGGTCACACAGAATATTGACACTTTGAGCACAATTCGGACATGTTCACTGTGAGGTGTGCTCACTTGTGTTGCCAGCTATTTAAACATTAAAGGCTGTATGTTGTTCTTTTCAGAGGACAGTAAATCTATACTGCTATACAAGCTGTACACTGACTACTTTAAGTCATATCATAGTTTCATTTCTATAGTGTTTCCCATGAAAAGATATAATAAAATATTTGCAGAAATGTGAGGGGTGTACTCACTTTAGTGAGATACTGTATATAAAGACGCTCTCATCCAGAGGGACTTACAAAAGTGCTTTGTTGTCCACTCAGAGAAAGTATCTAGGCTAGAACAAATAGGACAGAGTCCTACTCTTGAGTTCAGACACTGCAAGACACAAGAGTCAGTGCTAATACCTAGAAAGACAGATACAGGGTTAAACACAGCATAAGAGCTACACAATATATTTCAGTAAGTCCTTAGATTAGTGCTCACTTAAAGGGGACCTATTATGATTATGATTTTCTTTCCTGTAGTTTGTTGTAGCTTTTTGTACAGTGTAAATGATCAGCATGCCCTCACATAACGCACAGAGAGCTAACAAAGTAAAAACTGACCATTCTGACAATCTCAAAGATAAACTCAACACAAAGATAAAAGCTTTTAGAAAAAGACAGTAAATAGCTGGATTCTTTTTACAGTTCTATATCATATTTTCATAGGCAATGTAAAAATATTGGTTTGGGGGTCAGGATGTGAACAGTAAGAGATTATCTTCAGTATCTCTCTCTCTCTTTCTCTTTATCTCATCTCTCTCTCTCTCTCTCTCTCTCTCTCTCTCTCTCTTGCTGTCTGAAGTCCATTAAACTGTATTTTAAAGTGGTAATATTTAATATTAAACTGTTGTATCCGTTGTTCCATTGAAATGATGGTGTTAGAAGCAGCATGTGTAAAAGCTGAGAACTAAACAAATTTAGTACAATGATAAATACACATTTTTAAGACAATTATTTTCCAGTGCCTCGTGTCTGTAATGTGGCTAGTGTCTTTGATGGATGCAGTAAAGTTCAAAATAACCCTAAAACTTCTTCCTTTCTGTTTTTTTAACTTGCAATGTTTAGAGCAAATGAATGGTCATTTTTTATTTATCTCCTGGTCAGTACTGATGGTGTGTGTGTGTGTCTGTAGGTCAGTCATGCAGTCCTACAGTTCTGCTTTCTATATCCTGATCTACCTGATCGCTACTTTCACTACGGGTAAGTTTGTGTAAGAAGTGACCTTCTTATAAATTTCACTTCTGTATTTCACTTTAGTTTGTCAGATTTACTGCTGCTTCTCTAAATGATGACAATGATAAATTGATACACTGTTCTGTGAAAAAGTAAGTCATTGTCACGCCCCCCTCCGGCACGGCTGGAACTGCAGCTGATGCAGCTGCCTCAAACTAAGATTCCCAGAACCCCTCGCTGCCTCACATGACGCAGGACTCCTACTGATCAACCTATCAGCACTCAGCTTCACCGGACTTCTGATTACACACACAACTGTTCTTAATTTTATGTAATTATTAGTTTAGTATATAAGCCCGGGCTTTAGCTTAGACCATTGCAAAGTATCATCTCAATATGTGCATACCGAGCATTTCTCCATTGTCTGTTTTATCTTCTTCCTTTGTATGACCTGTTTTTCCGTCCTGACCTTGATTTTTGTCTTGCCCTTTTGTCTTGTTGTGGATTTCTGGTTTTTGGCTTCTTGCTTTCGTTTTTCGACTGTGATTTTGGATCATTGCTTTGTTATTAAAGATCTTAACTCTAGCTTTGTCTGTGAGCGTCTGGTTCCGTCTGGATACTTCCCTGCATGCAGATGGTGGACATTGAGGCTGTTCAGAAGATCTTGAGCAATTAAGGTTAGCTTCTGGGACATCACCAGCAGGTATTGGCAGGGGTTACTCAGTCTGTAGGTGACCTCACCCAACAACAAGCTGAACAGCAGGCCCAGCCCTCTCAACTCCTAACTGTTATCAAAGACATTTCTGCTCAACTGCGTAACCTCTCTGTTTGTTCACCAACTCCTGTCACCATCTCAGTCTCACATACGAATGCGACCGCCCCAGTGAGCGTTAATACTTTTTTTCCAGTAAGCAAACCCGATAAGTTTGATGGATCTCCAGACTAGTGTCAAGGTTTTCTCCTGCAATGCTCTGTATTTTTCAGTAATCCCCATCTAGCATTGATCAGGCCAAAATAGCACTCGTCATCTAACTTCTCTCAGACAAAGAATTAGAGTGGGCAACTGCTGGGTGGTCTCGTATTCGAGACATGTCTTATGAACAATTTTTTGAAAGACTTTAAAACAATTTTCAACCATCCTCATAATGGTTACTCCAGGGAAGAGCTTTTGTGCAAGTTTAAACAAGGTAATCACTTGGAGGCAGCCTAAGCATTGTAGTTTCATACTCTGGCTGCAAGAAGTAGGCGGAACCTACAGAAGCAGAGAGAAACATCATCCATGACAATGTGGTGGCTCAGCTACAGACTCCCGTGTCCAACATCCCCGTGCAGGATGGAGAACCCGTTGGACTGGACCCAAATTCCTTCATCACTGAACCTCTTCAGCTTGAGGCTAGCTTTCTCCATAAAGAACAGTTATCCTTCTTATTGATAGACTCATCAGAGTTTTCCATCATCCTAGGTCTTCCTTGGCTCCAGAAACATGACCCCCAAATCTCTTGGTCCGCTCATGAAATTACCGCTTGGTCCTATAACTGTGAGTCCCATTGACCCATTGAACTGAAAGTCATGTCCACATCCATTGAAAGCCCAGACCCCACTCAGGTCACTCAAATTCCCCTTGAATACTCTGATTTGACTAAGGTGTTTAGCAAACGAATGCTACTAAAGTCTCTCCGCATTGTTCTTATGACTGTACCATAGACATTATAGAAGAGGCCACTTTACCAAAATCTAGAGTTTATCCCCTGACTCAAGAAGAAGAAAAGCCATGGGAGAGTACATTGATGAGGCACTGGCACAATGTTTCATTTGTCCCTCAACCTCACCAGCTGCATCTGGATTTTTCTTTGTCAAAAAAGACAGATGGCGGTTTAAGACCCTGTGTTGATTATCGTGCCCTTATTGAAGTCACAGAGAAGTTTGCATACCTTTTACCATTGATCCTGGTAGATTTGGAACAACAGAGGTGCTCATTATTTCACCAAATCAGACCTCCGTAGTGCCTATAATTTAGTCCTGGTTTCATCTGCTTTCATCACCACTAGGGGCACTACGAATACCTTGCAAAGCCTTTTGGGCTCTCTAATGCCCCCATTGTTTCCAATGCTTTATCAATGATGTTCTTAGAGACATAATTGGTAAATTTGTCATGGCCTATATAGATGACATTTTGATCTATTCCCCAGATTATGACACCCATGTCCATCAAGTTTGACAAGTCCTTAAACTTCTACTAGAAAACGATTCGTTCGTCAAAGGGGAAAAGAGTGAGTTTCACCTTCAACAGGTCTCGTTTTTGGGGTATATCATCAGCGCACAAGGGGTACTAATGGACGATCACAAGGTCAAGGCTGTAGTTAACTGGCCCACCCCAACATCTGTGAAAGACTTACAGAAATTTCTTGGCTTTTACAGGCATTTAATTAGAAACGTTTTAAGACTCCAACCGATCAACCTATCAGCGCTCAGCTTTACCTGACTTCTGAGTACACCCACACCTGTTCTTTATTTTACGTGACTGTTAGTTTAGTATATAAGCCCGGGCTTTAGCTTAGCTTCTTTGAAAAGTAGCGTCTCACTATGAGCATACCAAGTGTTTCTCCATTGTCTGTTTATCTTCTTCCATGACCTTTCTTTCCGTCCTGACCTTGATTTTTGCCTTGCCCTTTTGTCTCGTTGTGGATCTCTGGTTTTTGACTTCTTGCTCTTGTTTTTCGACTGTGATTTTGGGTCATCCTTTTGTTATTAACTCAAGCCTCATCTGCGAGCATCTGGTTCCATCTACAGCCGTTACAGTAATTCCTGTGAGAATGCATTTGTTTTTTTAGCATAAATCCATGTAGGTATTTTTGATTGATTAATATATCTCAGTCATTTTTAAAAATATCATAACACAGATGCAAGAAGTGCACCACTACCTCTTTCACTGAATCAGTTGCCTGTATTTCGTAGTCACCAGTTCACTGTTCAAAAGACCATCCATAGAACAAATCAGTTTTAATCAAAACAGCTAAAAACTTACTTTGGCTGGATAACTTCTGTAGTACTTTAACCAAGACACTTCTGAGAAATATCTACTAGTTACTGTGTTGCACTTTTCACATTAATAGCATTAGCTTCCTAACTAGCTTGTGGCACATTATAGTGTAACAAATGAACTGCTAGTCTTAATACTTGGTAGTATGAATTTATTTTATTCCCCCCACCAAATGTCTGATTTCACATATCAGCTCAAGCTTCGGTGTGCTGGTAAACAGTAGACGCGGCACCAGCAACTGATGTGTGTAGGTGAGCTTCCTCCGTGAACTTCCTCCTGCCTTCTTTTTGTAAAAACATTTGCAAAACTCTCTCAAAAAGAAACAAAATACTGAAAAAGCGATGGGAAACAGACAACCTGTGCTTGTAGCTGGTAAACACGTCATTATCTAGCTACACACTGAAACAGATTATTTATGATGATTAATGTGATCTGCTGAGTATAGAAAATCCTCTCTGATTTATTAACTGTGCTTTTGAAGAATTCAGAGAAAAATATAACCTTTAAACATCTTGACAAACATTAGAGATGGAAATGTGTGGTGTACACTTTTTTATTTTGTTCCTTCATTTTTATTTCAGTGTCTGAATCAGCTGATCCTCCAGTGAAGGTGGATCTTCATGACTCTGCTACTCTGTCCTGCTCTGAGAGATGCTCTGGTTTGGTCAGATGGACTGTGTTCACTAAACCCACTGATGTTCTGGCTGAGTGTGATCAGACTTCATGTAGATCAGTGAAGGAGGGATATCAGATGATCCATGATCAGTACCTGAAGGGGAATCTCTCTCTCACCATCACTGACGCTGATCTCACTAAGAGAGGCTGGTACACGTGTGATTGTGATGGTAAAGATCTCTGTGATGTGAATCTTCAGATTGAGCGTAAGTGTCCATCTGGTTTCTTAAATGGCCAGAGATTTGGGTGCAATGACTTGAATCAGATTTGGACATAATTAACAAACTTCCTGATTGTTCTTCTTTTCAGCCTTGAAAACTCAAGTTCAGATAAAGCCTAATGAGTCTCTGGTGATGGATTTGGACATATCAGATCCAGTGAAAGTGATTTATAACAGTTCAGACCCAGCAGGACAATCCAGTGGTCAGATCTGTACAGTGGATGGACGCTCACTACAGTGTAAACCTGAATACACACAGAGAGCATCTCTAACATCTGTTCTTGAGCTGAGAGCAGTGACTCCGTCTGATAGTGGAGTTTATACTGTAATGGACACCAGAAATGAAGACGTCATTCACATCTACGAGGTGACCATCCAAGGTAGGAGTTCATTCAGAGTGTAGAGAGAGTCAGTCCTTTACTGGTGATGGTGTGCAGACTCGGTGCTGATGAGTGCTGAAGCCCCCTCTGACAATCATTCAGCACCCCCATTAACACCATAGGCTATTTATAGTTTATACCACATGAATGTAATTAGAAAACCGTTTCATATTTCGGTTCCACTCTTTTATACAAAGTACACAAAAGTAGTTTGTGTACACCGAGAAGTCCTCCACATTCACTGACTAGACCACCGATATCAAATCAGTCCTGTTTTAGCCTCTAAATCTAAGCACTGAATGACACTCTAAAGCACTGATCTTCAGCGAGTCATGACAAATGTACCCACTGTGCTCTCACGATATTTTTGCTGTGGGTTATTTCTGTTTAGCTGTTTAAACACATCCTGCTTTCTTTTTCTTTACACAATGAAAAGTTCAGAAGTAAACAGTGAAGACAGGAAGGTCCAGTCCCATTTCACCCCTCGCCCCTACCACTGAGCCCCAGCCCTCTGCTTTGCGTGTTCACGTCTAGGGTTAGGGTGTCCCAATTCTTGTTGAGATAGAGGGGGAGGGTGAAGTGTTAGAGCTACATGACCCTCCAAACGGAGGCTTTTCAGAGACTCACTCCAAATGGAGTGTTATATTAAAAAATTACGATCACCACATATCATGTTTTCTTCATAATAAGCATAAAAAATCGCTAATAGTATGCTAATGTCTCGGTAGCTAGCTAGCTAACTTTCCCGTTCCACCTTAAAAAATCCAGCAGTTTTGACACCTGAAGCGCCAGAATGTAACTGCTGCACCATTTAATGTGGAACGGGGAAATTCGAACAAGAATCTGGTGAATATGTGACTTCAGCTTCATATCACTGAAGAATTAGGGGTGGGTGATAATAAATAATTGCCCCCCTCTTTGAAGTCATATGATGCCCTAAATATAACTAAAGCCCAGCAGTGAGGAGCTGAACTTTACCCTCCTCTGCTGTCACTGCAGACTGGCAGGGTCGCCTACAGAGCAGCGCTGGTAGCTGTTAATACCCTGTAGCTCAGCTCCAAGGGGTTATGGTGACCCTCGAAAACAAGCGGTAGGAGTAAAAAGAGGAAATGGGACTAATTTTTTAACATTCCAACAGAAATGCAGTTAGCTTGTGGCATACAAGCTAAAAACAGGCTACTAAATGTATTGTAATAGTGAGCTAAACGCAGCCTGTCAGAACCGAAGCTGTAGTGCATGAGAGCTCTGTGTAAAATGAGGATTAATGCTGTGTTATAATCATTTACCATTTTATCTGCTGGCCAATCCAGGGGTGGTGGAGTCTATATTTTTGGACTTATGGTTGACCCAGGAGAATTCTCTCCCCATTTGCATGAAGTCTCCCCTCCCTGGTGGCCCTAGGTGTATCACTCCCTTTTTTAACATACGCCACTGGTGGTGTGAAAGAAAAAGAAACTGCAGCTGTGGACTGGAATTTAGTTTCATTTCTCTATGTTACAAATCTGTATGTCTTTTTTTTTTGCAGATCACTCATCAGATCTGGACAGAGATAGAGGACCTGCTGCACCAGTGAGGGTGATTATAGTGCTGGCTGTGATGGGGACTGGGTTTCTAACTGTGACTGTGGTATTAGTGGTATTAGTGATGGTGAATGTGAGGCTGAAGAGAGAAAATCATCAGCTCCGCATGAAAGACACAAAGAACAGAGTGGAAACTAATGAACGCAGTGATTCCACTGAGGAGGAGAAACTAAATGATAACCCAGAAGTGGAGAGATCATTACCACCCAAACACAGGACGGGTACATGAGAGTAGTTATTCACATGTATCAGGCTACAGTGTCCCTAGGGGCCCACTTAGGGCTTGACTTTTGACTCACAATGGCCTGCCTGCACTGGGCCTGTGAAAATGTGTTAATTTTTGCTCATTTTTTTTTTCATTATTTAAAATTGTTGGCCTTATGCAGGCAGCCCTAACTTAGCTGTAAAGACAAATTCAATTCAGACTGAATGCACTGGAAAGGAAATTCAAAATTTATATATCATATTTATTTTTTATATATACATTTTGTTTTACAGACTTTGATACTTATTATTTTTAACTAAAAAATAATAACATATATTGAATTCCATGTTTTCTAAAAAGTGTATGTACTTGAAGAAACACTCAAATATAAAGCTAATATTTCTTCCCTGCTGAGACTGGAGTCCCTCCCTCTCCATCGATATGCTGGGTGATGAGTTTGGCGTCAGTGTTCTTTTTAGGTTTATTAGGTTAATTGTTATTGGGGTTTATTTAAGAACCCCTGACCCACAGCACCACTATACACCACTTCTTTGCAAGCAGTTCTAGATAAAAAGCCCAAATATTTCCAAAACAAAACAAGCATTTTAAAAAGTGGATGCACTCTAATTAATCAGGAGCAACAGAACACTAAAAACATCTCAGGTTCAGATTAGAGCAGACTAGTAGAGAATATCAGCAGGACAGACATCATTCAGACAACAAAAAGCTACCATTCATGTTCATAGGCTGCTGTTTTTGTAAAGACACTCCCCCTTTGCTTCCATTGGCTTAGTTTAAGACATATTGATGATAATGAGTGCAGTGCAGTGATGAGCTCTGACTGCCGGAGAGAAACAGCAGATTTACAACATTCACTCATCTGGAATTCAGCTGTACAGCTTTAGCAAACAGCTTTAAGCTTTAAATATTCTGTCCTAAATCTGCTTTCCTTCAAAAGTCTGGCTTCTTCTACCAAAGAGATTTTTCTGTCTGACAGCATACAGCGCTTGCCTTAAAGGGGAACTCCACCTATTTCTAAACAGTTAAGATGTATCAGAGAGGTTCAGAGTGGTTTGGTGTGAAACGCTCCGTTCTAGAGAAACTTACCGAGTCAGAGCTGTTCACAGTGGTGGTGATAGGAACCAGACGTCCCCCTCTAAAAGCTCCCTCACTGAAAGTTCCTACAGTAATGGTTATGAATTCACTGCCTGATGACTGAGACACTGTTTTAATGATAGTTTAGAGAACTTAAACTCCATTCATGGTGGAGGGATACATGCAGGGCGATGTGAGGCAAAATAGTCCCCAAAGAGAACTTATTATTTCAGATTTTCCACTATTTTCCATCATCAACACTCCATATAAACTCAGAAGACTCGTGTGGTTCACTGGTGGTTCTGGATAGTAAATAAATGTCTATATTTGTGTTGTAGTCATGCGACCCCTGGTTCCTATCACCACCACTGTAAGACATCTGAACCATTTCACACCAAACCACTCTGTTTATATCTTACACACTCAGTTATTACTGGGGAAGTGTATAAAAAGGTGGATGAGGCAGCTGACTGTCTCTGAGTTAGATTTCACTAATGAAGCTCTAAAATATTATGATTTTAAGACCTGGTATTAAATGAGTGCGACATAGAATCAGCTTTAGATGGCAGCTTCTGTAGCGAATATACAGATTACAGATCTGAACAAGATCTAGAGGAACAAGAGAGTAACATTTGGGGACTTAGAGTGTAAATGTCTGGCATTTTCATGTAATTTCTGGAACTATGCTGAAACTTGGCAGTTGTGACAACCCTTTTATGCATGCAAGTTCAGCAGGTGGGCTTCACCCCACTTGAAGTGTTATTCTGCTTCATTACTTCGCTGTATCATTTTGAATAACAGCATGTGGAGAAATGCTCTATACTTTGGAAAAGGAGCTTCTGGCAGGCATGTTTGTCCCAGCTCTGCAGCAGCTTAGAACAGCAGGCTGGCCTACACTCTCAGAAGTAAAGGCAGTAAACTGTCACTGGGTCAGTTCCCCTCCTGTCACTGGGGTGGAACCCCCTTAAGGGTCCATCTCAGTGCCTTTAGTCAGGGACATACTGAACCATAATTCCACTGAAATGATATGTTCTAAGCTGTACTGACTCCACACACCCCGTCTCGTCTCCAGGCTTTTATTTTACTGTTCTGTTTTAAAACATTCGGTTATGAAAAGGTACAAATACGAACTTTTCACCTGGAAACACTTATTTAAGGTTCACAATCAGACCTTAAAACCACTGTTGGAGCTTTGAGGGAACATTTACACTTTTTGTACCTTGATGAACGAGAAATGTACCTGAACAGAATCTTCATTTCTACAGTGTATAAAGGAAACTTACTTAGCTGAAGTGCACACCTAAAAAACAAATCTCACTAATAAAACAAGGCCAAACCGCTCTAACAGATGCCATTTAAAGTAACTAAATGTCCATAATTTAATA